ATCTTGTATCGCTATATCTAAGAGGTATAAGTAGAGGAAGGTGAAAAAAAAGTTTGAAAAGCCTAGTCTAAAAAGTTAAAGTTAACAAAAAGGTGCGGTGTTGCAGAGCTACTTGGAAAGGCTGCCGTCACTCCAGCGCCATCTTGAACAACATTGAATGGCAGCTGTAGTGCAGTTTGGCCAGCTGTAGACCTGACTGGTCATTAGAATGCAATTTTTGAGCACTTTCCATTGCAAAACGTGCCGAAATAGCTCAGCTGGGAGAGCGTTAGCCTGAAGATCTAAAGGACCCTAGTTCGATCCTGGGTTTCGGCAAAGCTATTTTGGTCACCATCTAGGGCTTGGTAGGTTTGTTGGTAGGACTTCATTATACGGACTACAACTACGTGGATCATTGCCATCAAATGAGAAAACAAACACAGATGGTGCAGCTTGCAAACGTCCATCAAGTGGAGGTGGAATTTGAAGAAGGTCCTCCTTCAGAAGCTCCCAGGCCTCACCCATTATACCATTGACTTACCTAGGGCTTGGTAGGTTGGGTGATCACACGTCATAATACAGCCTAGCGATGTTTCCCCTAGAATCAAATCCTTCCCTTGGCTCTTGTCTGAAATGACGATTTAATAATATCTAACTGCAAATCCTCACCAGTACTTACAGTAAAATGAGAGGATAAGAGATCACGTTTTTACAGAAAAGAAAGACAATATGTGTCCCAGAGGACAAACACGTGACTCTTGTTGCCTGGGTAGCTCAGATGGAAGAGCATCAGACTTTTAATCTGATATCTTTACAATATCATTTACATTGTGTTCCTTACATTTTCCCCAATTGTATGTTATATTAATCCTATATTTCCGTTTTAATATTTCTAATGTTTGCCTTGTTTTCTTCACTGTCTGGTCTGCCTCTGTCTTGTCTGATTGCTCTGGCTTGGGTCATTAAAGTTCATCACTTTTGCAGTTGAATTTTTGCAGGTGAATTTTTGCAGGTGAATTTTTGCAGGTGAATTTTTTGCAGGTGAATTTTTTTCAGGTGAATATTTTTGCAGGGAAATTTGGAGGATAGAAATTCAGTGTCATAAATTCAATGTCTAAAAATACTTGAATTCTGATGATACTATATTTCTTCCATACTCTAGGAGTTTAGCGTTAAGAGGTCAAGAGTTAATGTTTCCATTGTAACACCCCCAGATTTGAAATAGAAACACTCATTTTTAACACTCGATTTTAGCTACTATCATTTTACACCTCAGAGTTACATTAAAAGAATGTGACTCTGCTTAGAGTAAAATTAACTCTACTTTTGCAAGAAGACTACTAACACCAAAATATTTAACACTTTTGAATTTGCTGTGTATATACTGGTGGAATAATTGCCCAAAGGTGGGCAGCCAGGGAGGAGCAACAAGTCTCTACCCAGAGGAGGAGAGCTGCTGCTGGAGAAAATACTGTGACTCACCCAGACCGTAACAGTTTGGGTCATCTTCCAGACATCTTCCAGGCTGCATGCATACTTTTAACCCTGTGTAGATTAGAGAAAAAAAACAAATCAAACATATGCACCCAGTTCTAGTTGTCTTAAAGTCAATAAAGATGTATTCCGTGCAATCATTTCACCCTGGAGAAAGAACAAAATTACCAAGACATTTATGCCCATGATGAGTGTATGTAAACTTCTGAACACAACTGTAAAGGGATCATTTCTGTTGCTAGGCTATTGTTTCCTTCCTGTGGCCTTTGATTACCCCAAAACACATATCATTATGCGTTTTGATCACTTTGTAATGTAAATTTGTAATGCTGTTATCCTTCAAAAGTAAACTCAGTAAACTCTCTCATAAACTTAACTCGTGTTGGCCAATGTTGTGTTGTTGCAGAATTGTTTTTGCATTAGTTTTGTATGATATGAATCCATTAATAAAGCATTTTAGGGAATTAGCACCTGCTCTCTTAAACCACATACTACAACTCAGTGACTGACACAAAAACTCAGTTCTTTCACTGTTGTCTTCAGACTGCATTCAGTTTTTACAGTTTAAGGAAGCACTTAAAGATTGATTTGTTCTAAATGTTTCATATAAATCTGCTATACTTGCATACACACACATATATACTCTCTTTAACAGTTTGAATGAATAAAGTTTCGCTACTCCTATTTTTTCAGTTGTTGGTGGTTAGTATTTGTTGATGACGTGTGGATAGGGATGACTTTTTGTTCTCATAAGCCACATGCTGATCACGGGCTTGGGCCTGCTCCTTGCATGTCTACTGTAGCTTGCAAATAGAAATGAAATAAATAAAAGGTGAATAAGACTGATTTGAGTAGTTAACTCTTTAATGATTATTGACTAAGGCGTGCGAAGTGTGCGTTGCTTTTAATTGCTTTTAATAATGGTAGGCATGCGGAAGCTATAAGCCACGACCTCTTTAATGTTGCCTTCACGTGCTCACCGCAAACTCATGCTTTCATCAAATAAAGTAGTTACCAGATAGTATGATCCGATTTTGTAATTTATTTCTTTAAAATAATTTAGTACTGTAAAAGTTTATGTATTTACTGTAAGTTTGCAGGGAAAATTCTTTTATTTATTTTTTTATTTAAATGCTAAATGTAGTCAACTAAAGGTTAGTCACCAGGCTAAATGGGTTATTATAATTTATTGTCACGTATCGATATCGATATGAAAAGAAATTTCTATGATTTCTGGTTTTATTAAAGTGCGCATTTTCCTTGTGAAATGTAAATACGCGTGATAGTTCCTAATTCCGGCAACCTTGAAAGCGGCACAAAAACCGCTGGTACGGCTGGGACTGTTTCGGCTTGACAGTGAGCTACCAAGCAAAAATCGGCAGCGGTGTCGTTTGAGGAAATTTCGTTTTGCAATGTAAGTCTATCCTATACCGCACACTTTTATTTGTCAGTCAGATGTTGACGATTTCGCTTCCGTTTTTTTTCTGGTAATACTTCAAGACGCGGGCGCAAAAACAACGCCCAGAACTTTTGCTACTAGCCTGCAACAAGTGCTAGTGCCCGTCTTCGAGATGTGAGCTAGCTTAGCCACAGCAGCAACGCTGCATTAAAGTTATCTAACGTTGCTCACTCCTCATCATATCAACTTATCTTTGCTAGTTATGTAGATAGTCAAGAAAGAGTGTACACAATCGGTTTGTATACAGGCCACAGCTGTTACTGTTACACGAATCTTACTG